TACCAGGAGGATGGAGGGATGGTGAGGTGGAAAGGGTGACCCAATGACACCTCCCTGGGGGACGGACAACTGAAAAGTGAAGGGAGACGTCAGACACTGTAAGATATGACAAAATAATAATTTATAAATTATCAAGGGTTCATGAGGGAAGGGGGAGCGGGGAGGGAGGGGGAAAATGTGGAGCTGATGCCAGGGTCTTAAATGGAGAGCAAATGTTTTGAGAATGATGAGGGCAATGAATATACAAATGTGCTTTACACAATTGATACATGCATGGATTGTGATAAGAGTTGTATGTGCCCCTAAAAATTGATTTAAAAAATGATGCACTTGAACCTGACAAAGAATAAGGATGTCTTTGAGAATTAAAGGAAAATGGAGATTTAAAAAAAAGAATATGCCATCAAAATACCCTCCACAGAACCGTGCCAGCTTATGCCCTCCTAACACGATTTTCTGTGAACACAGGTTTCCCCTCACTCTGACCACACCACATGTCATTCTTATGCTTGCCAACTATGGAGTGAACAGTCCCGCTTTTCCCTCCTATTTCTTTAATTACTCTATAAACTAAGCACTTGGCAATAAAGGCACGTTCTTTTCTTAGGAACTGATTTTTATTGTCTCGTGACTACTATTTCTTGTGACTGGCCTTTCATACTATTAACTTGATAGATTAAGAAAATCTGTCCTTTCTCTTACTACCCTCCCTTTTTAGTTTACTTAATTAATGGACTCATTTTCCCCCAGAACAGAAATTTATAATTTTTATATTTTCTAATTTATAATTCTTTCTCATTACTTCTGTGTCTTCTGTCTTTAGTTTTTTCCTACTCTTTTATAGAAAAAAAAAACATCCATATTTTCTTCTAGTTCAATTGTAGTTTTGAAGTATAAGTTTTTGGCTTATTTGCTATTTAGTGAAGAGATAGATACTAATTTTTGGATCCAAATGAGAAGCAGCCAGCTGTTCACAAGCCATATACTCAAGACCCACTACTTACGTAATGATTCAAATGCTGAATTTACTACATAGTAGTGCCTATAGAAATACGGAGCTCTTTCTGCACTCTGTTCTGTTTCACTGATTTATCTGTCTACCCCAAGCGAAAATCAAATTGCCTTCATAATAATAATTTAATATATGATAGGGTCACTATGAGCCGGAAAGTTTAGCTTTTCGTTTGGCAGTTTAAGAATTTCCCAACACTGGGATTTTTGCAAGTTTCCAAAATATTTTTGCTAGTTTCAATATCAATTTTAGAACCAGCATTTTTTTTTTTTTAAGAAAAATTTTTGTTGCCATGCTGTTTTTTAGATTAGTATGAAAAGAGAGGATGTCTTTCTGGGGTTTTAAAGTAAAGGACATAGTTTGTCACTCAGGAAAGCTTTCCTTTCATAGGTCCTATGTAATTCTTGTGTTTGTTGTTCTTTGTTATGGATTGAACTGTCTCCCCAAAATATGCATTGTAAATCCTAACCCCCAGAACGATGGTTATAATCTCATGTGGGTTTTTCTTTGTAGTGCTAAAAGATAGAAAGAGTACCAGGTAGGAATACAGAAGCAAGCAGAGATGGGGTAAGACAGACGCCAAGGCACATGAATATCACTGAGGAACAGAAGACACAAGGACCCTCCTCCAGAGTGCTCTGAATTCAGACTTCTAGCCTGTTAAGCGATGAGAAAACAAATCTGTCATAGATTTTTGGGGAGTATTTCTTTTGATCAGGTTCACTGACTAGGCCTTTCAGAATGTTAAATACAGAGTCTTTCTTGTTTTGTTTCTAGTTTCAATGAGAACACACATTTTTTGTAAGGAAGTTTAACTTATTTTTGTACAGTCAAGTTGAAATAAAAATTAGGGACACACCAGAATCTTTTACATTTTAATTTAGCTCATCCATACAAGTGGAGTTGTAACATTCTCATATCACCCTGAAGTTCTGAGGCCAGTGAGAAGCTCGGTGCTGTAGCCTGCTGTCATAAGTTATAAAAAGCCCAAGAGAGCTCACAAAAAAACACTTCATTGCTTTGAGTCTACTCCAACTCACAGCAAACTATAGGACAGCGTAAAATTGGTCCTTGGGGGTTCTGAGACTTTACATCTTTACAGGAGCAGGCAGCCTCATCTTTCTCCCCAAGAATGGTTGGTGGGCTTTTAAGCTGCTTACCATGTGGTTAGCAACTCAATACATTGTCCAGTATGCTACCAGGGCTCCTAAAATAATGGAATCACCTAATTCAACAAGTTTCCTACTAAAATTATAGCATGACTCAATTACCTAACTGGATTCTGTCAAAATAAATTATGTTTACAGATTATATCAAGTTCCTCATTTAAGAGCACTTTTATCTTGCAGGTCATTTGAAATATGTGAATTCAATCACTCAATGAAGAAGATCAGTTTACACTGTATTTATGGAGCAGTACTGATACGATTATTGTTTCTATCCCAGGAAGATGGCTGGAATACTCACGTAATTGTACAACGGCACTTTCTCCATTTGTTGCAATGTAGTGCAGTGTTTGCTCCCCATAGTAGGACGCTCCTGTCTTGTCAACTTCTGTACTAGCTATTACCAACACAGCAGTGGCTAGAACAGTAACAAACTGTATCAGATTTAAAGCACAAATTAACCTAACAGTGACTTCAGAGAAACAATGAAAACATACTGGCCCATCTGAATTTCTATTAGCTCGCAAGCCCAGACACTCTTGACTCTGGTCCAGACACAGCAGAAGTGAAGTCTAAATTGACACTAAACAAAATAAGGTACAAAATATCTTTTTTCATACCTTTTTTATTCCACAGCATTGTAACTTTATCAGCCTTAAAAAAACTTTTGTTCGCTAAAGCAGCATGAGGTCCACCGAAGTTGGGGTACTGATAGAGTCTAACAAATGAAGGCGCACCCTTACTTCCTGGGACATAGACAGCCACCTAAGGTACACATACATAAACCACAACTTAGGGAAGAGTTTAATTTCATAGCATTCCCCATGAGCAAACAAAATATAGCAGTTACCTTGTATGGTTGGGGTCCAGGGGATAACACAAAATCATTAATTTTTTGCAAATGCAGTTTATTTGCAATTGTATCTAAAAAAAAAGAATGTTGTTAGGTTGATGAAAGAAGACCACTAATAGGATCCATTATGAGTATCGATAGCTAACACAGCTACACATGAATATTGCTCACGGTATAGGTGAGGCAGATAACAAACAATAACTGCAATGGATTTAAACTTATCAGATGTGTCTAAATCAATGAGCTCATAAGCTAATAAGAAGCAACTGAGAAACATTAAATTAAAACCAATAAAGGAAAGAATATCTATATATAGTATGTTTCGTATACAAATAGGAGTCCTGCAAATGTTGTTGGGTAAATGCTGGAGTGCTACCTACAGGTTGGTGATTCAAATCTACCAGATGCTCTGTGGGAGAAAGATGAGGCTATGCGGTTCCGTAAAGATTTGCAGCCGTGGAAACCCTTATAGGGTTGCTATGAGTCAGAATAAACTCAATGGCAGTAGGTTTGGGTCTTTTCCTGTTCAAATATACTTCTATGTAACCAAATAGTGATAGGGGAAATTCCTTCTTACATTGTACCCTTGCCCTCACCAAACCTCGCCAAAAATACACCTAAAGCTGTCAACTCTAGATCCATCTAGCAAATTACAAGGGACAGGCGAACAGACTGGATTACAAGATGGGATCCAATAAACCAACAAAATGAAATTCATTGCCACTGAGTCAATGCCGACTCACAGCGAGCCCTCTGGAGGTTGGTGTGAATTTCGAACTGCTGACCTTGCAGCTAGCAGCCCAAAGCGTAAGCACTAGGCCACCAAGGCTCCCTCCCTCAGGATACAATCCGTAGTTTACGCAGGAGAACACAAAAGGAAACCAACGTTATTCTTAAACAATTAAACTGCAAGGGGTGGTGTGGCTGGAGAGGAGATAATATATAAAAGATGAATCAAGAAAGGACAATGTTCAGGACCTTATTAGATCCTGAATTAAATAAAAAGAAAGTACGATTGCAATTATTAGAAATTTGAACAGTGACCAGAATTTTAGTATGAACAGTGATCACATATTTAATTTAAATACAGATAATGATCAGTGATAATAGTACATAATTAAATTTCAAAAATCAGGAGCCCTAATCTTCAGGGATATAAACTAAAATATTTCAGAGTAAAATGATATGCTGTTTAGGACTTGTTTCAGCATATTGAGAAAGACAAACTGGAACATATGGATAAAGTAGGATTGACCATAGGCAAATGGAGTTGGGATTAGGTCTGTTTTTAATGTTTGAAATCCTCCACGTACAAAAAAACAAATTTAATTTTAAAAACTTCCAAATTGTTTGCAACAGAATGTCAAGGATACTTAAAATTTAAAAAGTATTCCCAGGCATTACTTTAGTGGTCATTATCAAGTAATAAGACACAGAAGGAGCCCTGATGACACAGTGGTTTCACGCTAGGCTGCTAATTGCACGGTCAGGGTTAGAAACCACCAGCTGCTCCGAGGGAGAAAGACTGTCTACTCCCGTAAACTGTTACAGTCTCCGACACCCACACGGGCACTTCGACCCTGTCCTACAGGGGTGCAATTAGTTAGCAACAATTCAATGGTAGTCAGATTATAGAAGTATGGAAATGAATTCATAGAAGCAATCAATGACAGACAAATTAACACCACTTAAAAGAATCCTATGATGCTATGTAAGGTAATATAACAATATACATTTATAATAAACAATAAAAATGATTCCATAAATCTTTCCATACTAAAATCGTTGTTTTCAAAGAAGTGAACTTCATTGTTGACATTTCTGGCACAAATAACTTCATCTTCTGACCAAGATGGGCACCTGAGAAGTAAGCATATAAAAAAATGTTAATACAGGATGTAATCTCACATTTCAATGTTTAAGTATTGCGCAATTAAAGAAAAGTACTTATAGATATGATGTTAAGGCCATTACTATTAACAGTCTTAGTCAGTGTGAATAAGAGAAGAATATTGTTTCTGTCCATTCAAATACCAAGTAAAAGAAACAATAAAAAAATGCATTAGCCTACACGATGATTCCACATACAGTAAATATTCTTAAAGAACCAGCTTTTGGTCTGGCCATTATTTTTGAGATTACTATCAGAGAAACAAACTATACAGTGATAATTAAAGTGTAATATCTTACTCATAATAAAAACTTAAATAACGTATCTACCAATTTTGCATCTTTTTCTGGATGAAAGATTTCCAGCATGTCCCCGTTTTCATGTCATGCAGCTGCAGATTCGGGGCCCCCGCCGTGCCGTCTTTCGAAGCTGTAATAAAAACATTTCTGTTGTTGCAGTAATTGTTTCTTAACACCTGTAAAAAGATCTCACTCCTAGAAAAGATTTGAACAAGATTATAAAAATCAAGTAAAAGGGTTGCTTTAAATCAACTTTCCCCTTTATGTAATAATCCACTACTAAAGTCATGCCAACTAGTGATAACAGAGATCTAGTACCTCTAAAATGAGTTCACTGCCACGGACTCGAGGGATACATCGAGACTGCTTAAGTTTAACATGGTTTGCTGTCAAATGGATTAAATGTCTTTAAATATCTTATCATGAAACCTTGTGTCCTATAAGTCAACCCCCCCCTAAAAAAAGGTGCTCAATAAAAGCACTCATGAATCTCAATGTCCTTTTATTAGTACGAACAAATAAAATCCATTAGAAACCATGTCTTCAGAAAAACCAAGAAATTTACCTTTTATCAATTGAACTAGTATCATAGTCAATTTAATAATATCCATATCATTAGAAAATGTTTCTTAAAAATAACCTTATACTAGGCTCTCAATATTTCATTATTCATTTATGAAGCACAGCTACATAAAATAAAATTCAATTATTCATGTATGCAAAATTCTTTTCAAAATATTTAAAACATGGAATTGTGTGGTAAGGAACTTAACTGTCAATAAAACTGCTATAAGATACAAAAAACTGTTATAAGAAAACAGAACATGTATACACACATAACCAAAAAAAACCCACTCAAAATTCCATCTGATGTGCTTCTAGGTTTTTTCCATGTGTTGTTAAAAACGGCACATTTCGTATCCTCTGTTGGGCCACCCACATCTTTTAAGATGTTGTGTCTATTACACTCTGTCCTTCACTCACAGTCATTATTTAAAACACTTAGTTTTAAAAGGTCATTTTTGGGGTCATCAAAGACCTTTCTTTCTTTTTTTTTAATAGGTCTTTCTTATCTACTTGTTATTCTTTTCTAAATTTCCCTTTGAGGTTTTCCTTTTCCTGTGCCTCATAATGGCTCTTTGCACTAATGTATTATAAGGCTCACTGCTGATTAAAGAGGCTCACTGACAGCGTTTACTATCATATAGACTAACTGCCTGCAATAAAGCTGCAAAATTTATTCATAGTTTTTTTAGAGAAATTAATTTTCCCTCTTAGAATATTTTTTATAATAACAAAATACTTACTAGTATACGGCTGCCACGTTGCCAAGACAGTGTTTTTGGGGGAGAACTCAAGGCAAACTGTCTTTGGGAGGTCGAAGGAGTGCAGCAGTCTCTTGTTAGTGACACTGATAATATTTACTCTGGTTTCAAAAGAAATTACTTCAGCAGCGAAATACTGTTTTATAACAGACAACAGCAACCAAAACATTCATATTTCTTTTCCAATACAAACTACTGTAAAGTGCTCATTTTTTCAAAAAGCCCCGTTTTCAGGTTGTTTTAGAAAATATCCATGAAGTAACTCGGAGAAGGTCAAGTGGAAAGGACTGAGCAGCTGTGAGTAACGGGCAGCACAGCAGCGGGGACACTTTTATACTTTACACACAAGGACCCTTGTGATATCCGTACCACGTCAACACGGAGACTTCCACTTCACACGCAGCTTTAATTTAACTCTCACAGTAGTGTCACAAGATATGTGTGGGGCTAAGTAAAAAAGTAATGCTATAAAATCAGACAAGTTTATTAAAAAAATCACAATGTGAAACTAATAGTTTTGACAGCTCCTCCATCTAGATCTATACACTTCTCCAACTGTTTCCCTCTCTCTAACCGGTCCGCTGATCCCTGGAGCGCAGGGCTGGGCTGCTGACCATGATTAGCATTTCAAGACCACCAGCTGATCAGTGGGAGAAAGATAAGGCTTTCTACATCTATAAAGAGTTAGTCGTCTTGGAACCGACCTAATAGCAGTGAGTTTGGTTTCCGTTCTGGAATCCTGTGATGCACCAACCACTAAAGCCAGTAGCCAGCATGAAGAAAGTGAAGAATTCCACCGCCTGTCTGAAGTGGTCAACCAAAGGGTCAGTAGTTGGAAATACGGCCTTGGCCACAGTCACAAAGAAGGAAAAGCTCAGCATCACCAGCCAAAGCCAGGCCATCGATGGCTCTGCAGCAGGCCAGGTAGAAGCTGATGAAAATGAAAAAGCCCACGAGAGCCAAATGAGAAAGGCGCGCTTTCTACTTCTGGACAGTTACAGTATCAGACATTCAGAGGGGCAGTTCCACCCTCTTCTATAGGGTCACTCTGAGTCCACTAGACTCAACGGCAATCCGGTTGTTTTTTAAATGAGTCAACAACCATTTGCGTATATTCCACCTGAATCTTGAGGGCACTTCAAGGACAGATGTGATACATTAAACACTAAAGACCAAAGAGCAGACAAGTTGTGGGAAGGCACCAAGAATATCACACATGAAAAAAGCAAAATGCCATTGTCATTAAAGAAAAGACCAAATTGGATGTCAGAAGAGACCCTGAAGCTTGATTTTGAACACAGAGTAGGTGAAGCAAATATGAGAAATGATGAAGTTGAAGATGCAAAGAAGAGAGAATTTCAAAAGACAGCTTAAGAAAACAAGGCAGAACATTAGTATGAAACACGCAGAGACCTGGAGTTAGGAAACCAAGGGGAAGAACATGTTCGGCACATCTCAAGTTGAAGATCTGAGGGAAACGCTGAAGCAGATTACAGGATTCTAAATATTGAATGATGCAGGAAACATCAATAGAAGTTGGAAGGAATAGTCATTCTTCCAAAAGCAAGTGATGAATGTTCAACCATTTCAAGAGGCAGTCTTTTCAGAACCTCTCAACAGAAAGCTTGATTAACAGTCTGACCTGGTGGAACGAGCTCCAAATGCAGTACAAGTCAACATTTTTGTCCTTTCAGGAAGTTGATGGACATCCAGAATGAGGTTTGTCATCAATCGACATTTCACCTTTTTTAAAAAATCGTTTTATTAGGGGCTCATAAGACTCATCACAATCCATACATACATCAATTGCGTAAAGCACATTTGTACATTCATTGCCCTCGTCATTCTCAAAACATTTGCTCTCCACTTAAGCCCCTGGCATCAGGTCCTCATTTTCCCCCCCACCCTCC